CCAACCCAAAAAAAAAAAAAAAAAAAAAAGGCTTATTTCTACTTGGACCTTGGTGCATAAAATTGACAAAACTATTTTTTATTAACTTATGACAGGATATATTTATCCTGACACAATGACCCACCACATTGCCCTTCATGTTTAAAGTTCAAGTTTAATCCATATTCATCAAACTGTAAATAGACATTTAAATGACGAGTTGGTCAATGGCAGTTCACAGCTTGCATTGGCATGCTTGTCAAAGCCTCTACTTATAAGTTTGAGTGCTTTAGTAACTTTAAGATCGAGGGTATGATCTTGAAGATGTAAATTTTTTCCTCGGTTGAATTCCTTTCTACTGGAAATTAAGCAGCTTCTTTTGAAAGCTAGCCGAAAGCTTTTAATAGATAGCTTTGTCAAAAGAAGTATGTTTGGGGTCTACGATCATTCTCCTTCACGACTCAGAATGACACATCACATCAATATCACCTAGATTTGACCTATTTTAAGATACTTAGCAGCTTCTACTGCTTTTAACTGGTATGTGACAGACCATCTTTTGCACACCTGATAACGTTCTAGTTCAATGGTGAATCATAACGTATTTTTAAAATTAAATATTTAGTACATATAAAATATTTGTTATGCATAAAACATAATCAAATGCAATAAACGTGTACCCACCATCCTTTTGAAGAAAAAAAAACACTCCCATTATCTTCTAGGTACCCTGTGGGCGCCTCCCCCATCCCATTCCTCAAACACTTAACATGAAGTTTGTGCATCTTTCTCTCATGCTTTTTATCAGTTTGACCAATTATGTATGTATCTCTAAACAATATGTTGATTAGATTTGCACGTTTGGGAATTTTATATGATGAAATTATGCTGCAATATATCATTTTGTGATTTTTCTTCCCCCCAATATTATATCCTGAGATCGATCCCGTAATTGTGTGAGCGGTATTCAATAATTTTTCCGTGCTCTTTTGTATTTGAGGATACATTAATCATTTTGTAAAAATGTCTATCTTTACATTTGACGGTATGGACATCTGTTCTTCCTCCCTCCCCCCAATTTTTAGTTAGCACATATAGTGCTACTATCATTATTTTGCCTACTTGTGTACATGTGCAGTGTTTCTTGAGGATGATATATTCTTGCGAGGACATGTGTATCTCTAAGTGTATTGGATGATGTCTAATCATTTCATAATGTGATTGTACAAAATTATACTTTCATCAGCAGTGATTAATGTGCAAGCCCAGAAACAGATACACAGCACACACATGAGCATGCACACACTGCATACGCTAACATATGTGTGCACACATCATACCCATCTACACAGGCACACACACCCCATACTCTCACACCCATTATACACCACACACCACATACCAAACGGGCGATAGAGTCACACGGATCCACATACGTGCGCCGCACACACCCTTGTACACAGTGCGCGCGCGCACACACACACACGCGCACGCACGCACGCACGCACGCACGCACGCACGCACGCACGCACGCACACGACTCCCAGACTCGCCCACGGCTCCACAGACGCTCCCCGCACATCCCATGCAAATCCGCGCACACGTGACCCAACCGGGAGGCGTGGTCTCCGCCGCCCGCGTCCGAAGAATCTTGTCCCGGCCGTGCCGCCGTCGGACGCCGGGTGTCAGAGGTCGCGGCAGCGCTGGCGGTGGCGTGTTTT